GGGGCTGCCTGCCCGGTGGCAGCTCCCATGCCGTGCACGTTCATCTTGATGTGAGAGAAGAGATGGGAGCCAGGGAGCCTGGCGAGGGGCTGGAGGGGCACTGGCACGTGGTCGGGACCGGTGGATTTAGTGCCGGCAGCTGAGCTGTCTTCACCACCCCGGGGTTTGTTTTTTCCAGGGTGTTACGGAAGCAGAGCGAGCGCGGTGCCGGGAGACCCTACGGCACGTCCTGGACCGTGTCTACCAGCCGCCTGTCCTGTCCTGGACCGTGTCTACCAGGGCGGGGGGGTTTTTTTAGCGTCGGGGCCATCCCCGGCGCGGGGCGCTCGGAGTGCGTACCGCCCGCGGTGCTGGGACTGTGTGTTCCCACGCTCCGAGGATGCCTTTGCTGCTCTCCTGGAAACGTTCTTACACCTTAAAAACAAGTTTAGTGCAGCACGCCCGTCCCCGAGTGCCGTGTGAACACACGGGTGAAGTTGCTGGGTGTGCATTGCTTGCGCGGCAGCAGCTCGGGCCCCCCGCTGTACAGGGGTGTGTGGGTGAACTCGGGGACTCTCATTGCCGTGCCGCGGCACGTGCCGCCTTGACTTGGCAGTTAGATCTGCTGTGCCTGGCCAAGCAAAGCGCCTTCTCTTCCAGAACCTGCCCCTTTCCGCTTGAGGGGATGAAGCGGTGCTGCCTCGGCACCGGCTGCTGTTCGTGGCTGTTTCAAAGGCTGCCTCGTGGCAGCGGGGAGGAGGAGATGGGGGACAGGTGCTCTCTAGGGAGACCTTCGCGTTGTGTTTAGAGTCCCCGGGGAAGGGGACTGCATCCCAGCTCCGGGTGGGTGTGCGCGTACCTGCCACGTCACAGCTCAGGGTCAGGATGCGAGGAGCTGCTGGCGTGCACGCGGGATAGCGCGGGGCTGCTGGCTCAGGCGCAGCTCTGTGCCACGCGCTGACCCTCCGGCTGGGATCGCATCCGATTCCCGAGCAGGCAGCAGCTGGCCTTCCCATGCGCGAGGGCTGCAGAGGGTCCATACGAGGCACTTGCGCGGGGCGGCACTCTCAGTGTGTGCTGTGGTTCTTCCACACAAAAGCAGGGGTCTCCTGGTTAAACAAAACCCGAGCTGATATCCCAAGCCGATATTTGGACGATGCCCTTAATAACACGCTTTAACTTCTGGTCAGCCCTGAAGTGGTCAGGCAGTTGGACTAGGTGATCGTTGTAGGTCCCTCCCAACTGAAATATTCTATTTCTATTCTATTTCTATTCTGTGCTATCCCCCACCAGTGCTGCGGTGCCAGCCTGCCGCCTCAGGGTGTCCGAGCAAGTCACTCCATTCGAACCGCTCGCTTTGTGGGTTCGCAGCCTCCGGACAGCTCTGCTGTTTGCGCTGTCCCGGGGGAATTGCTTTGCTTGACCAGGGAGCCTGCGGGCTCGCGGTGCCGCTTCCGCAGCCCAGCGCTTTGTGCCGGGTCCTGGCGGGGGTCACTGCTGCGGACCCCTTACCTGCATCGAACCTGACTTTGTCCCCTGAGCCACTGTTTTTGGTAACGAGGCAGAGCTGCTGCCTGACCCTGAGAGGCTTTAATTAAAGGCGGGAAGCCCTGCGCAAGGGGATGCTCCTGGGAAGGCTGGCCTCTCTCATTAAGCCCTAATTCGCTTTGTGCCACTGGATGAAGAAGTGATTTATTTAAAAGGTTTCCCTGTCCTGTGCTCCTGTCTCAAGTCCTGCAGGGCAGGGCGCAGGCTGTTTGCCTGTTAGCGAGGGTTTGCACAGGAGTGTGCAAATACGATGCTCAGCCTGCTCCTTTGTTTCCTTTCAGAATCCTCCCTCTCCCGGGGAAGAAACAAAGCCGGCCCTTGTGCGGGCTCCAGCGTGGCTGCGGCGCCTTTGTGGTCAGCTGCTCTCCGAGAGGCTAATGAGACCCAGCGGGGTTCAGGCTGTGGTTCGGGGCATCATGGAGGGAACAGGCGGTGAGTAGGGTGCTCCCGCGCTGCTCTTGGCTTCCAGTGTCGCAGATTAAAAGAGAGTGTGATGATGTGTCTGAGACGTTTCATCCCATGAGAGGCCCGGGAAAGACAGTGCCGTCACAGCACTGAAATGGGAAACAGCTTTTGTCAGGCCAAGCTGACTCTTCCACACTCACGCAGGTTTTGCCTCTGACTGTGCTGATCTCCCAAACCGCAGATGCCTTTAGTTCGTTGTCATGTCCAGACTGAAAGCATCCAAACTCATTTAGTCTGTCTGTGCCTCCGTGGGGTTGTACCTTGTGTGCATACGGAGCGCGGTTCGTTCCGAGGAGCTGCGCTGGTGCCGGTTCGGTGGGAGCCGTGCTCAGTGCTGGGCTGTGAGTAGCTGCAGGTGGAGTGAGACCCGTCCCGCTTCGGGGCTCGGCAGCCTTGCTCCCCTGCTTTCCATTTCCTGCCAGGGAGGGAAACTGTTGCTCTCTAAAAGCTGAATCCCGCAGTTCCTGGTGCCAAAGCTTCCTCCGGCCAATACCAACCTGATGACACCATGCAAGCATGACCTCCCTCCACCTTTTGGCTCATACACCTGTTTGTAGAAGTTGTTTTCCAGTATCAAAGGTCTTGGACAATAATTTTTTCCCCTTCTGTCATTAAGCCCAGGTCTCTCCTGAAAGATGCTTGGTTTAAAGAGAGTAATAAGAGCTAGAAATCCGATTTTTGGCCAGAAACATCTGGCTTCAGCCAAAACCTGCCGTTTGCTGTCAGTCTGAGCTGATCTTGGCTTTCTGCTGGTGTAGCAGGTGGCGCTGGTGCTGAAGCAGCAGCTGTGGACTGGAGAAAATGCGATGCGGTTGCAAAGATCCTGGCTTCTTGCCCGCAGCAGTGCCTTTCCCTCGAGGACTACTACAGACTGGTATGCCCCCAGGTAGGTCCCTCTCTCCCCGCAGCACGCCGGCTCTGGCTGGGAATGCGGAGCTGGCTCCTGGCTTGGAGAGTGTCAAGTACTGTCGCTTCTGCTTAAGCGTGGCCTGGCTCGAGGCAGGACAACGTGGAGATGTTTTTCTGCTGCTCTGGCAGTGGGACGTGTTTCCACCCTACTCTTGAGTTTTCCGTATTTGATTGAAATGCTGCATAATGTTGCCTGATCGCACGAGCTGTTCAGCGCTGCACTACGAGGAGCTCTCTGCTGTGGAGCTCTTGCTTCCAGCCTTTGGTGATGGGAGCGGTGCAGGCTCTTGGTTTGAGCCCAGAAACGCATCCTGCGTCAGCGTGTGCATGGGAAGGAGGCCGGCTCTTCCATATGTGGAATGTCGTGCCAAATGTCCAGCAAAGCAGCACACGGGAGGAGGCTCCTCAGTCTCTGCTGTTGGCTGCAAGGAGTCGGCCTGCCCCGCCTCCTGAGGGGCTGCTGATCTTTGTTCCTTTATCGTGGACTTTCCTTCCAGATTCTGGACTTGCTGCACATCCAGGACAAACTGACAGCGCGCCAGTTCCAGCGAGTGGCCACCACAACGCTGCTCACCATGGCGAAAGAGCACCCTCAGCTGGCAGAGAAGCACCTGCTCCAGCCCCTGTTGGCGCCGCTCCTGCGGTGCTCGGAGACAGCAGGTACCCGCTGGTCTCTGCCGAGCCCCAGCTCACAGAAGAGTCCGGTTTCTCTTCTCGCTGATCTTTGTCTTTCCATCAGAATTTTCTCAGGGGCTGGTGGCTGGGCTGCTGAGCGCGCAAGCCCAGCTCTGTCAGTTGTGAACGTGTCCGTGTGGCGGGGTGCACCATATTTACTAGCACTTGAGCCAAATTACTATAGCGTAAGAGCCAAGTAGTGGGGTTTCTGCCATTTGTTCTTTGGGAAACTCTCCAGTCTGACAGTCTCGTTTTGGGCTTCCGGACGGAAGCCATCGGTTCCCCACGCTGACCGAACAGCTCTCCGGGGAATAATCCATCAGGAAGTTGTGGTCTGCTTTGATTTGCTTGTAACCTTGCAGAGTTTACAACACTGCAGTGATATTTAGCGCCGCTAACGAGGGCTCATCAGCTCCCATGCTGCCCTGATGGAGGGGAGGGAAGGCAAGAGAACTATCAAAGTGCTTTCTGGTGCTGGGAATGGTGGGGTTGCTGTTCTGCTGGAGACCCCTCAGTATGTGGGGGTGCTGATACTTCTGCCCTTTGTTTTCAGAGCTAGCAGTGGAAGATTTATCAGCAGGGACGGTGCTGGTGACAGAGGCAGAGCTCGGCAGCTGTGTGGAAGATGTGCTCAAGGTATCATGTCTGATTTGGGCCTGAGGGTAGGCAAGAAAACTACTCTTAAGAAAGAGCTGGTTTGAGACTTCCTGAGCGGTTCAGTGTGTGTCTTAGACCATGACAAAAACCAGCGTCTCCTGCAGTCGTGATGCTGAGGCGAGGCCGAGAGCTGCACAGAATAACCGTGTATGCAGCACTGCACTTGAGGGACTGCAGCTTTATGCTGGATACCAGAGGCACTGCCTGAATCCTTTCAAGCATTCTCACCCCAAAATGTTCTGCGAGATGGCAGTGAGCTCTTGCTGGTTGTTTTTTCCCAGTCTTTCTGGTGTGTCAAAGTAAGAAGAGTCTGAGCAGTGGGCTGGTAGCCAGGAGTCTCCATGGTGCTCTCATATCCTCTTTCTCCATGAGCTGCAGCAAGACTTTCTGAGCATTGCTAAATTGCCCAGCTTCTACAGGACCGTTGTGCCTGGGTGTACTGTCAGAGCAGCTTCAGGACTGGGGCTGTGATCGTAGAGCAGGTAACAGTAGAGCAGGCGGGAGGTCCTAGTCAGGAGTACCGCTGGCCTGGCACGTGTTGCCTCAGGCTGTCGATCCCTGTCCAAGATGATGGTGCTCACCTACCATCATCAGAGGCGTGCAGCTGGTCAGAGGGAAGGGCGGATCGCAGGGAATCCTGTACGTGCCGAATCTTCAGAGGATGCCTCGGCTCTCCTCCCAGGCTGTCGCTGGCCCACCGTCCTCTTAGTGCCTCCATGCCTCAGTTTCCTTCCTGTAGAGCGTGGATAATACGGCTCCTACTGAGCCCACGGTTGCCTGTGTGGGAGGGAGAACCTGCTGGGAGCTGCTCTCCCTGCTTCCAAGGTCTGCAGAGGGCAGCCTGAGCCAGAGTGCTGGAGCTGGAAGCCTTTCTACAGCTCCTGCAGCATTAACCCCTCACGGCGGAGTGGGTGGCAGCCAGCTCTTGCGTTGGGCCAAAATGCTTCCGAATGAATGACCTGGAAAAGAGGGCGCTTGAGGTATCGGCAGGCGGCCGGCTGTGCTGGACTGCTCAGCCCTGCAGTGAGGGCAGCTTGGCAGAGCCCCAGGCTCGTCGCTCGGTGGTTGTGCAGCCAGTTGGCAGCGAGGCATTCGCAGTGGGCGCTATGAAGCGAGCAGATTCGGTGTGGCTCTGAGGCTGCTGAGCTGTCACCGGGGTGAAAAAGAGGGTGAAGGCGATCTCGGAGGCATCGCAGAGCCGCGGGAAGAGGTGGGAGAGCTGTTGCAGTTATCCTGGTGGCTGCTGTTTGGAAGCAGAGAGCGTGTGGGTAAGGGGGAAAGGGGAGGGTGGGCGGCAGCGCAGCCGCAGGGGAGGTGCTGTTAGTGGCTGTGTCCTCACCTCAGGTGTCCCAGAAACGGGGGGACACACTGCAGCTGGTCCCCATTGGGTGTCCCCAGCGGTTCATCTTCCCCTGCTGATATCTCTCAGTGGGCTAAAGGCATTACAGTCTAGTCCTGTTGGACAAGTAAGGTAAACTGATAATGATAAGTAAGGAAAAATGAGCGGCCTGGTTTGCAGGGACCATTCTGAGCTGAACCCCGTGACACGTGGGTTGCCGTGTGCATGAAGTTAATTTTAAAACCATGGGTGGGTAATCCTTCAGCAGCTGCTGCTGGGTGTCCAGCCACCTCCTCTGCTGCCCTGCCCTCCGGAGCTGCTCTTGGTGCAGGACAGTACCTGGAGGCGGCGGTGGGGCCTCGGAGCTGGTCTGTGTGCCTGGCTGCCGAAGCAGGAGGGATTGCTGAAGCTCAGCAGCTCTCCCAGCCCGACGTTCAGGCCCCGATCAGGTGCTGGGAGATGGGGAGAGTTCAGGAGAATGGAAGGAAACTTGGGTCTCATCGGAGGAACGCTCTGGCTTTGCCAATAACAGAGCACCTTCCATGGTAGAAGAAATGTCTTGTGGGCAGGACGGTGCAGATTTCGCACCTTCTGTGGAGCTCCTTCCTGCAAGGCGTCCCTTGCAGCGACAAGCAGGGCATTCAGCAGCGCAGATCTTGGCTCTGGCGTTTGGGGGAGAGGCGGGGTCCGTTCTCGTGCTCCCTGTGAAGGAACAGGGCTCTTCTGTGGAAGCCGCTCTTCTGAAACCTTCCCTCATCGCTCCTTTTTCTGCCGTTCCCACCAGTATCACCAGTGCCGCTCTTCCGGCTTCGCTGCCTGCCCTGACAGCAGCCCAGCTTTCTGCTGCGCGTTCCAACCCAGAAGGCCATCTCCAGCCCAGGAATTCAATTTTAAGAAACTGGTGACTTGCTTACTGGCATGCCCCTAGGCAGGCTAAGCTCTTAAATGCTGTGATTGTTGTAGTATTTTGCGTGGTAATGATCTGTTGTAACTAGCTGGCAGGCAGAGACCAGTCTGGAGGGCTGCTCTGTGGCTGCCGTTCACAATGGGAGTGCTGGGGGAGTGTGGGGCGGATCCCTCCTTAATGGCATAGCGCTGGAGGCTTGACAGCAGCCAGATTAGCGACGGAGACTCCAGCCTGGGGATTTGCGGGGGTTTCTTGCCTAGCAAGTGTCATTTGATGCTGAGTGGAAAACCATCCTTGGGGCTTCATCAGGGAGGCTTTGTGTACAAAAGGTTCTGGTTAGGAAGAATGGCTCCACGGGGATTAGCACAGGAAAAAAGGTCTGTTTGCATCAATACAGGAGGGCAGAACGTTATCAGGACAATCTCCCTCCTAGCCCTCCGACCTGGGTTGTCACGCTGCCTCCAGCAGGTAAAAGCTCTTTGGTCTGTCCCCAGGGCACTTCCAGCCCTGGGGCAGGCGGATTGCTCTCCAGCTGCGGAGGTCGGAGGTGTGGGGAGCGCTCTGGTGTGAAGGGACAGCATCTTCTGAGCAGGTAGTTCACCAGCTGACACAGCTGGAAGTCCCTTGGAGAACCTGTGAAGAGACTTTATTTCCCCCCCACTTTTTAAAGCTAAAAGCTATGGAGGAAGATAGAGCCTGCTAAAATGAGGACCTGAACACAACAACCCTGAGTAGACCCTGAGTCCAGCTGGGCAAGGCTTGGTATTTAACCATTTTCTAGACCGTTTTCCCAGCATATTATGGCTTTGACTGAAAGCATCCTACATGGCTTTCAGTTTCGGACAATTCCTTTAAAAGGATTCAGAAGGAAACATAATGTCGTAAGACTTCTGTGAGTGTTTTTCCTGTGCTCTGTGGGCAGCAAGGTAGGGCTTGTATGTGGTGAGCTGGTAACAGTGGCTTGCCTGGGAGGGGGTTGCTGGTTTCGTGAAGGAGGGCATTGACAGTGATTCGGGAGGGTGCTGCTTGAGATGGGGGAGAGGAGCACGGCCCTACAGCCGCCTCAGAGCACCTGCAACCCACTTGCTCAGCTCAGCACACGTCAGCCCAGCTGCCCTGCTAGGGACTGATCTCTCTATTTGAGATTTGGCTCTAAGTGCAGTATTTCCATAAAGATTTGCTAATTCAAAGGTGCCTGTTGCATCTCTCTGTAACACAAGACCTTACCACTAAGCAGCAGACTTCCTGAATAGCTAGCTGCAGTGTTCCTGTAGCTTGGGAGCCCTGCTGTGGTTAAACAAATGCTAGGAGAAAGATGGTGCTGAAGGCTGCTTTAAATACAGAATATGGCATAATCAGGGAAAACAGGCTCCAGACTGAAAGGAACAGAGGCTGAAAACCGTCCTCCCTGGTGGCAGCCGTTCTGTGCAGAGACGTGCTTTCTGTCCTTCCCTTTGCCTTCCCTCTGCTCCACGCAGGTGTCTGACTCTCCTCCCTGTGCCCTTCTCTCCATAGGTGTATGTGGTTGGAAATGACAGCTCGAGCCTGCTGCTGGGATCCTTACAGTCAGTCCTGGGAGTGGTTTTTTCCCTCTATTCCTTCGCCAAGCAGAATGTGTCATACTTACGGTAAGGAAGGATTGTGCACAGCTTCTTCTGGTGTTTCATCTTCTCTGTTCTGCCCACCTCCAAATGACATGCTCTACATGGGCATGTACAGAAGCCGAGACCAATTTTTCTCACCCTGAAGAGCTCTCGTTCAAAGTAGGCAGTAACCGCAGGCATAGGCACGGTACACGACCTTACTGCCAGACCTGTGCCCGAGGAAGCAGTTCTCGCGTTAGTTTTTTGTCTTCCCTGAAGCCAAAATGTTCAGTGTAGAGGCAAGCGTGCCCCGCGGGAGCCTTGGGAGCGCAGGTTAACTCTTAGTGCCCGCCTAGGAGCAGGGATTGTGATTGTCTGCGGACGGAGATGGTGATGCTGGGACCTGGCCGGGTGTCAGAGGGATCTGTGTACTGGGGATTTAGAAACAGGATAAAAACTGGATAAAACAGCTTGAGCGCTGGCTCTTGGAAATACAAGATCATTCTTCTCTGATCTGGGATCACTCTCTCCTGGTATGTGCTGGACCTGCCTCTCGGCAGTTGTCCCTCGCGCTGTGCCCAGCTCCCCCACAACTGATGGACGATGGTAAGCACCCCGTGTGTCAGTCACGGTGGCAGGGACAGCGGTGACGAGGTGCTGGCTGTCCTCTCTCCTTTCTCCTCCCAGGCTTCCCCTGGGCTGCCCTGAGTTTGGGCCAGCCTAGTAAATACGCTCCTGGTGGGTTTACGCTTTGCTTTGGTGATACTGGCACGTGGGTACTAGAGGCTTTCCCTAAAAGGTCTGTGTAGACACGGTCCCTGCTCTGCTATTATTAAAGACATCGTTAATCACTTTGAAGAGTAGTGAGTACAAGTTCGTAGAACAAGCCAAGCTAACACTGCTGCTGGGTGAACAGAGTCGCTGCTCCATTCTGTCTTTGCAAAGGAATTTGGCAGGGGTAACTAAAACCACAGCTGCCTGGAAGTGTTCGGGTTTCCAGACCCTTGGCACAGCGCTGCTATTCCACCTCATTAACCTGGCTCTTTCCTTGGCGGGGGTTTCCGTGCCACCTTACAGTGCTCCCCGTCTCCTTCCTCCTCTTCCTTGGCACAGCTGACAGCTCTGTGCTTTGTCAGGTTGGCGTGAAGCACCAGGCACGGCTTGCCGAGGCTGCGTGGAAGTGGCTGTCCTTGTACAGACATGCTGTTCAGAGTGCTCCCTTCCTTGCTGGGCTGAAATCTTGAAGGACCCAGATCCTTCCATCTGGGAACGCCAGAAGGACGGGATGTGCTGCTGATCCCCTTATAAACTGGCACAAAGGCCTTCAGCTGCCAGAGCTGTCGGCCCAGAGCATCCCAAGGAGTGTCCGTGGTCGCTCCAGAGCACTCTTGTCTTTTCCCTCGCCCCGAGACGCGTGCTCCCGTTGCAGTGCTGGTGTGCAGGGAGGGGTGCAGCGGGCAGAGCAAGGTCACCACTGCTTTCTCTCTCCTTGCCAGCTCCCCGTGCCAGGAGATCCTGCTGTGGTTCTTGGAGAAGTCGGAGCGAGAGGTGTCGCTGGCCGTGCTGGAAGGCTTTGCAGGGCTGAACAGCAGCGTGCGCGCCCTCCACCCGCGGTGCCGGTTCCGCACAGGCAGCGAGGGTGGTGCCAGCATCGCAGTGGAGGAGACCATCAGGTGAGCGCTGTTGGGGCAGTGCCGGGCATGGAGGGCAATCCCCAGGCATCAATTCAGTACGTAGGGCTTTTCACGGCATGCCTGGCAAAGACAGCCCAGGCGAGCGTGGGGCTGCTGGTGCCGTCCCACCACGGTCTCGTCCCGCCGGGCGCCCGGGTAGCTGGCTGTCTGCGCTGAGCTCAGGCAGGCGATGCTTCCACAGAGCCTCCGGGTTCCTCGTACGCAGCGCAGAGCTCTGACTTTAAGCCCTGAAAAGCAGCACGTTCTGTCTGAGCGTTAGTATGTGCTCTCCGTGTGCTTTTCCTGAGCCCTGAGTCCTGCCTGCGGGGTGTCTGGGAATGGGACGTGCTCCTTCAGTCCCAGCGCTCCCCAAATTCAGCATCCACCCTCCAGCCCGGGCCTGTCTCGTGGCAGATCGCGGCTGCGTGGAGCGAGTGGAATCCCTCGGGCGCAGGTGGCACCGTCGCAGCAAGGACTTTAGCGATGCCAGTGTGGTGGAGCCAGCGACTGAGCTCCCCTCCTGCTCTTGCAGATGGTCTCTACAAGTAGAGGCAGAGCGTGGCCATGTGGGGAATAAACTGCAGCCATTAGACTCCAGCCACGCAAACTGGGACTGTTCAGCAGCGTGACATTTGGTTTAAAGAGAGGTAGCTGTTAGCTGGCAGGTACGAGCCCAAGGCAGTGCTATCGAGCAGGCAGAGCACACAGCTCCTGCCCAGGAGCATCCGCGGGCTGGGTGTGCCGGCAGTTGGGTGCACCCGTAACAAAACCCCGTACAAATACGCTTGTTTTGGTTTCATTTCAATCTGTTCCTGACCTGAATTAGAAGAAGGTCTGCCCCGGGGTCTGCACTGGTTAAACTGGGTATTCTTTAAAATTACTCCTTAACGGCCCTGGCTCTGCCCGTGTCTGTCCTACTTTTATGGCTGTGACCGCTGCATGAATTAGCCAGCGCTAGTCCCGTTCTTTATAGGACGGCTGGATTAAATGTGTGTTTTGCACTCATGGTTTCTGTTAATGTTATTCCTTTAATGAATGCAGGTTAATTAATAAACTGAGTGCGTGGTCACGTAGACCAAATTAACTGAGCAATAGTTTGGCTCAGTTGCCTCCAGGCTTCTATTCTCAGTAGTGCTGGGAAGGCTGGTGCTGGGAAGGAAGGTTTCCAAGAGAAGGCAGAAGAGGGGTTTCACCTTGCCATGGAGTAGTTTAGAGCCAGCCCTGGAGGGCGTCCGGGTACGTTCGTGTTGGTGACACGGTGACCTGTTTCAGTGATGAAGATGAGGCCCTCTACCAAAAGGTTTCCTCGGAGCAATGCCGTGTGGAGAGCTTGGTGGAGCTCTTGTCTCACTGCCAGGAGAGTGGTCTAGCCGGAGACTTCTTCATCCGCTGCCTGAAGGTAAGGGCAGGCAAGTCTCTGTTTGGGGCACATCTGCAGGAACGGTTTCCCTGGGCCAAGCCGTCTGTGTGGCAGACGGCAAAGGGGACCGAGGGTCCCCTTACGTGCCTTGGGAGCACTGAGCCGGGGTACGGCACGCGGTGGAGCGGTCCTGCTGTGTGCTGGGCAAGAGAGCCTGGGAGAGGGAGGCAGCCCTGGTCCCTGAAGGGGTTAACCCTCGTTCCCCCTGGGCTCTTTCGACACCAGGAGCATGTCTGAAGTTTAATGGTGTGTTTGAGGCTGTGAATAATCCCTGTTGCTTCCTTGGCTCTAGCGGGGCACCTGCTCCCTTTGATCCTGCTCCCGAGCCCCTGCGGTTCCCTCCTGGCCTTGCCTGGGCTGGGCTGCGCTTTCTGTGCCCTTGCTGGCAGGTAGAGCCCTGTCCCGTAGGGGTTTGCAGCACCCTGGGTGTAGGGACGCTGCTGTGACATGGGTGGGACACCCAGGAGCTGTGGGCAGCTCTCGGAGACCTTGAGCTACCGAGTGGAACGTCCTGGTCGCGTGAGGCGTCCAGCACGAGCTCTGCAGAGGGGACGGGGGCTCCAGGTGCCTTTGTGAGCAGCCACTGCCAAAAGCAAGGCTGCAAGCAGAGACCCAGTGAGCCTGACAGCCCAGAAGATGGTTGGCCCTAGGAGAAGTGCTCGGGGGTGCTCTGTGTGGTGTCCACGGGGACGGAGGTTTGCGAGGGTTTGGCCTGCTGACAGGCGTGTGTGTGGAAGGGGATGAGGCTGGAAGAGGGGAGGTAACCGGGAGCCCTTTGCAGCAGGGTAGAGGTGTGGGTAACGCGGACCTGCTGCACCCAGGACCACTGGCGTGGTGACCGCGGTGTTCCTGGCACTGGTTTGCCTGTGTTTAACCATCGCCTCTCTGTGCCCTGTGCTTCCTTCCCGGCAGGCACTGACTTGCGTGGCTGCGGAGGACGAGGCGGCTTCAAACTCGGCTGCAGCGCCTGGAGGGAGTCTCCTGGAGCTGGAGCAGTGCCACGCCAGGCAGAGGAGGAAGCTGTTGGTCCTGCAGCTCGTGGCCACGCTGTGTGAGAGCGTCTCGGACACCGTGTTCACAGACGTTGCTCAGGTTGGTCATGGCAAAGCCCTGGGGGATCGGCGGCTGGAGCGTGTGGCAGACCAAGCTCTGGGCCGCTGGGCTCTAAGGAGACAATGGCTAAGAAACAGCTGGAGGAAGCTAGAGCATCCCCAGGAAAAGCAGTTTATTGATTCAGTTGCAAGTGTCTCAACAAGACACCGTCCTATGCAGTGCCGGCAGGAAGGACAGAGTCAGCTGCAGAGGCAGGAGGGAGCAGCCCAGCAGACATCTTTGTATTTGTCTCCGTGGTTGCGTGTTAAAAGCCAAGAGAGTAGAATCATAGAATCATTAAGGTTGGAAAAGACCTCTGAGATCATCGAGTCTGTGTGTTGATCAGAACTCTGACTTGCCAGCTTCTCATCTTTATTTTCAGCAAAATTTGCTCCCAGGTTTAACAAAGCTTAAAGACATCTGTATCCGACAGACCTTTTAAGCAAGTGCTTGCGGCTTATCCGTGGTGTTGGTGCCTGGTTTTCCTGGCACATCTCAGCAGCCACCTCTGGGCGCTGCGGTAGCTGGGCTGCCAGCCGGACAAACATGGCACGGCGCCGCCACCGCGTCCCGCTCGCCCCTGGTCCCCAGATAGGCCGTTGGTGGCTTTTCTCTGGTTTCTGCTGCTGGGACACCCACACCGCGTGGTATGTGCCGTCGTCAGGGTTGGCGTAAGTGTGCTCACACGGTCGGCACTTGTCCATGTCTTGATGAACGGGCAGCTGCAGAATTTATTAAATGCTGTAATTTCAAAGGCCAGCTGGGGCTCCTTCAACCTGGTACCAAAAAGGATTGTTAAAATATGGCACTTCTGTCCGCCCTGAGCCCACGCTGCAGCAGCGCTGAAGGGGGGGCCGGCTGTCCTGCACCGTGCCAGGTTGGGAAGGCTGTTGGGCGCCGAGGGCGGCGCGGTACGCCCCAGCTGATCAACGTATTTTAACTTCCTCATCCTGTTTTGCTTTGTTTTTTTAACTCGGTGACCTGGTTATGCCAGTTAACTGTGACTGGCTTGAGCGGAGGCGGTCACTGCTAACGCAGGTTTCCTCACTTTTCTCTTTGGGACAAAGGAGTCTTTGTCTGCGCTCTGCAGTGACAGAGGGGACCCAGCCGGTGTCATTGTGGCGCCCGCCGGTGCAGCAGCCAGCGCTGCTTTGTCCTCACCTGCCTCTCCATCGCACCCACCCGCGCGGGGCCGGCTCCGCTCCCTGGGTCAGAAAGTTGGGATGGGAAACGGGGGAAGGATTTTGCCAGGTTTCTGGGTCCAGTCGTGAGTCTAGTATAGAAAGAAACAGCCACCAGAAAAGAAACCCAGACAAAAAAAGCCATTATACTTCCACCTGGGGGTTGTATTTCAGGGAGCGCTCCCTCGGGCTGGGACAGCAGCTGCAGAGCTGTTTTTTAAGTGGGTTCCGCAGCACAGGGTTCCTCCGGGGCATTGGTTCTTGCTGTGGGCACTCCGGAGCGTGGCTTTGTGCATAACAGGGTCGGAACAAGTGGGATGCCTCTTCCCAAAGCCAGACCCCGGGAACGGTGGCAGCTGTGGACCCCCTCACTTGCACCATTTACTTTATTTACATTTTCCCCCCTCACAACCGAGTTTCATGAGATCGACTTGATTTCCTTCATACGCCAAGGATGCTCTCCTCCTGCATGAGACAGAAACGTGTCCCAGTGTTTTATTTTTCGAGCTTTTTTTTTTCCCCTTCCAGATCAAGGTGGGGTTTTTTTTCTTTCTAGATTAGGGTTCTTTTTTATCTTTGTTTTTCTCAGTAGCTATCTACTGATAGATTATTTATTCCCAATGTTCCTATTTTTTTTGCATTAAATATAATTTCAACCCATTCGGCTTGTGTGTCACTGTTTTGTGAGAGCAGATGTTCTGACACTTGTTTTTACTTTCTTGCTGTTTGACGGCATTTCTTTTCTGGACTAATCAACCCAGAAGGTACCTAAGGCTTTTCTGCAGCCCCTCCCAGCCAGCCTCCCTCCTCGCTGCAGTAGGGATGTGCTTAACGAAGCTGGCAGCCATCAGCTCTCCTGCTGATGAGGAAACGCGTTGCCTGCACCCGGGTGCCTGTGCCCCGGAGGCTGGAAATGTGGTGGTTTGGTGCGGTAGTACCTTGTTGCCCTCGTACTTCGTTTTCCAAAACGGGAGCAAAACGGTTCCTCTTCTTTTGCAACGCGCCTGTTACGCAGGAGCGACCCCGATCCAGCCCCTTCCCAGCACGGCCGGGTGCCGCCGCAGCCGGCGAGCTCCCCCCGAGCCGTGCGGTGCCAGCGCAGCTGGCAAAGGCACGGAGAAAATAAACTCACTAATTTCAAGCTCCGTTAGAAAGGCAGGAAGCCTGTGGGATCAGTGATGTTGGTGCCAAGTGTCGAGAGGGCCAACGCTGGCCACGTGGGATCGTTATGGGCTTGGGGGGGTGGAACCCCAAGTATTGTGAGAAAATCACAAAGTAAGTGGCACACGTGGTAAATGTCCCGGCTCCAGCGTCGGCGGCGTGTGGGTAAATGGTGTCTGATGACCGGGGAGCCGTGGGGCAGCCGGGCTGGGGCAGCCGGCAGGAGCTGGAGCTGTCCTGGGCAAGGGCAGGTGGCTGGGAGCGACCCCGGCCTGGGGCGGGGGCCGGGAAGGGGCTGCGCTCTTCCCCAGAGCTTGCCGGGGATGCAGGCAGGTGTGATTTTTCGTTGTCGTGAAGTTTATCTGAGCCGCGCTAAATGCCTGCTCAGATAAAGCCGTGTGCCGGCGGCCTGCAGCACCGGTGCCTTCCTAAAGACCACCACGTGCTCTTTAGTTCTCTCTGTCTCTGCCTCCATCTATTTTTTTAATTTTCTGAGCCCGAGCCTTTCTCTAGCACGGTTTCATACGAACCCTCCGTGTTTCCCTGTTGTTGCCACCACCCCGACCTTCCCTCTCAGACCCATCCCAGTTGGCTTTCCAGTTCCCATCCCACCGCACGGCCGCGGCGGAGCGGGGACAGGAGGCAGAGGAGGGGCTGGGCTGCCTCCCCCTGCCCCTGCAGCCCCCACGGGGGCTTCTGCTGCCAAAAGCAGCCACCGCGGTTTAACCATCGCCTTGTCCCGGGGCTGTGGCAGATGGGCAGCGTGAGCTTGCCCAGCCCACGCCGGAGCCCGGTGGCTGCGGCCGCTGATGGACCGGGCTGGCCCTCCCAGCCCTTCTCCCGAAATCCTCGACCGCCGGTTCAGACAGCCTGGCGCGGGGCTGGGGGCTGCGACCCCGCAAAATCAGCCCCTCCGTGCTAATGCCGGAGAGGTGGGCAGTGGTTCAGGGCTTCGGCGCCCCCGGGCCCCGGCTCCCTCCTGCAATCCTGGTGCATCCGCAGCTGGGCTGCACCAGCGCCCCGGCTGTCCCCCAGCTCCCCGGGGCTCCCCGGTGCTGCTGAGCCCGCTCACCCGGGCAGAGTGATGGCGAGGGAGCCGGGAAGGTGCTGGGAAGGCGACTGGGACGGGTCTGAGAGGGAAGGTCGGGGTGGTGGCAGCAACAGGGAAACACGAAGGGTTCGTACGAAATTGTGCTAGAGAAAGGCTCGGGCTGGAGAAATTCAAATAGATGCAAACAGAGACAGCGAGAGCTAAAAAGCACCCGGCTCCGGGAAGGCACCGGCACCCCGAGGTGCGGGCAGGGGCAGGCGGTGGCAGCCTCCTGGGAGCACCCTGGGGATCTCCCCCCCCCTAACTGCTCTTCCCCGCGCTCTCTGCTGACAGGTGGAGGAGTTCGTGGCAGCCACGCTGCAGCGGGCCTGCGTCAGCCCGGCGCGGGGCCCTGGCGCGGCGGCGGAG